AGTAATAATTTTTGTGATTTCAGGCTCCTGCCACTGTGGAAAGTGCATCTGTTCACCCCAGGAATGGTACATTTCGGGTGATTTCTGTGAATGCGATGACAGAGACTGTGACAAACATGATGGTCTCATTTGCACAGGTGCAGTACAGGCTAACACTTAATTGCTTCAGGAAACAAACTGAGTTGATGGAAATTATGTTAGACAAAGACCAGCTTCTTCTTTCCCCACTGATGGAGGAAGCGTATTTTCTGGTTATTCAAAACTGCTATAACTGTTTCTTCATGCAACGCAATGATCAAATTAAGGTTTCAAAACAACAGTTAAAAGCTTGACTATGAATTTAAACAGCTAAGCCAGCTATGGAATCCATCAACGATTCTCTCTGTAATAGACTACAAGTTACTGGTTTTTTGGCAAATGTCAGCATTACAGTCATGAGGATTCCTTAGCCTTTGTTCTTTTACTGGACAATCCACATGTGTAATGAATTTAAGTCACAGACAAAATTCACTCGTTTGATGATCCCAGGTGGGTTAGGGACATAGCTGCGTGGGTTAACAGAGCTTCCTAGCAATCAGACAGTTGTCGGTGGGAGGCTGGAATAGCTGATAGCTTTTCTTATGATGTGATGGTAAATGATTCAAGCAGCTTCACCTTAACCTTGTCTGAATATGCAGGTGGCAGATGTCGATAGAAATGGGCAGGCTGCCAACAAACCCTCGTGACAAGCATAGTGACAAGAAGCAGCATGGGAATTGCTAAATTAACTCACTGGCTGCTTCCTGTTACAAATCTTAATTTTAGAAAATCTTTGCTGAGCAATTATTAGATGTGGAAGAACTCTGCAAGCCAATTAGAGTGAGAGTGGGAAGGCTGACACTAGTAAATTGTGTCTTCCAGCTAGCTCTGTTAGCAAGGGTCATTTTCTGCAGGCAACTAACTAGTATGGCAGGAACAGGAACCTTATCTGTAGCTGTAATGCCTAATCATGGATCTTCATAAAGTCAGAAGGAAGAGGGGTTTACATAGATACAAAGGCTAAAGAGGTCTCAAGCTAAACATCCAAGGGTCATAAAAAATATTTAAATAAAATTAATAGATGGGACTCAGCTGTTTCCCTGCTGCAGTATAGGGCCAGGACATTTTTCACTTAATAGAGAGTTTGAGATAGGATTTATTTATATGGCACTTCTGAGATTTTAGGTTTAACTTTTTTCATGCTCAAAGTCATGGTTTTATTGCTATTCTGCTGGTAGCTTTTAATGGCTTTTTCTTTATGAATAATAGTTAAAAGTAATCTTGTTTTTCTTCGTACCTGGAGGCACAGTGTGAACACTTAGCCTCACCAGCTGGGTACAAATGCTGGTGTGCACAATCCCACTTTCCCGTACACAATTTCAACATTTGCAATACTGCTGATGGAATTATTGAGAATATGCTATTAATCCCTTGTAACTATAGGTGTGGGGAGGCTTCTTAATGCAAGGGTGCAGTTATTGCTCCCTTCCAAAGGGAAAAGGGGTAGGGGAACAGTAAAAGAACAATGCATCTACTTCAGCATAGCTCTTTACTTCCCATAAAACACATTATAATGTAGTACATTTCAATTATGATAATTGCACTTTATTCATTCTATTCTAGGTAACGGTGTTTGTAGCTGTGGAAACTGTGAGTGCTGGGAAGGATGGAATGGAAATGCTTGTGAAATCTGGCTGGGGAGAGAATATCCTTAATGAAGGACGCCAAAGATCGAGGAGAGGTTTTTTTGTTTGTTTTTCTTTAGGCTGCTAGGACATTTAATTTCAGAAGTGTCTGGGTGTGGGTATGCATGAACGCACACATAAACGGTTGTAAATACCTTAAAACACATTTGAGGATCTGCTCCCTAAAGAAATGCATCAGAAAACTAAACAAGGGAGCAGGACAGCCCGAGCTCTAGAGGGTGAAGCCATAAAATACTGGCCCTATGGAACTTCTCCAGAGATTTTTTGTAACTTCAGTCAAACAGATATTTTACCAATAATGACTACTTTTTTGAGCAACCTGAGACAAAGGTGTAAGAAATCCCTTTTTTAAACATTATTTACTTGGTTGTCGTGTCTTATCATTATGCAACAATACACATGTAGAGGAGTAGCAGTAGTTGAATATTTGTCAAACAATTAGTTCAATCTGTTTTATGGTGTGTGAAAAACACATTATTTGGCCCTTTTTTCTCTTCAACATTCCTGATTATGAACCAACTCATAAATTGAGAGAAACTGTAAAGAAGCCTATAAAAATATTAATGATTTTTTTTTTGGTCAAATAATTGTGTGACTGAGGTCCAGTTATGTTACACTCATAGGCTGAAGACCCAAAATGTTTGAATGGAACCTTTTCCACAAGAGAACTTTTAGTTTCTGTGGTTGATAAGTCAGTAAGTTGGTTATCTAATCTACATATTACAATACTTTCAAATACATAATCTATAGAAACATATGGAATGAAACAAATAAAGATATAAAAGTATGATTGCCTATTCTGCATATGTGTTCTGCAACTCACATGTACTTTTGTTGTGCTGTTCTATGTATCTACAGTTACCTCCTACATGTAAAGGAAATGAAAATTTTTTATATTAGTAACTTTTAGGATGAAAATTCTGTCTATTTTTAGAAATTACTGTTCAGGACAAATTGCCATGGCACACATGGAATTCACTGAATTTAACTGCTTTCACAGAAGCGGGGAACATGAACATCAACTTACTTGAAAAATGATCTGTGCTGTGACATAGCTTGGTCTCAGCCAAAGGTGTCTGGACAATGGCAACAAAGTAACTGAAGTTTTAATACAGTAAATACAAACAAAGCAGTGGTATGAACAAAAATTTTATTTTTATTTTCCAATGGTGAAATGCTGCTCAGTGTGAAATTCACATTGAGTTATGAACGATGCACAACTATTGGGACTTCCCTAACTTATTTACATATGAGTCTCTTATTTTTTTGTACATGTAGATTTGGCAGCCCTTGAATTCTTTAGAGCAAAAAAAAAAAAAAATACATTTTAGTTTCAAAAGTGTTTACATTTTGTGAAACCATGATTGAGCAAGAAATTGATTAAATGGCTCAAAAATACTTCTTTTAGATAGCAAACTTTAACATTGTGGTTTAGGTGCCAAGGTCCTGATTTTTTAAGAGGTACATGACTCAAAAATAATGGAACTACGTATTAACAAAAAGAATGTATTTCCATTATTAGTCTAGAAATTACTTTTCTTTTAGAAAGGACAGTTTTGAAATAGGAAAATACAATGGTACAGAACATGTAATAGAATGCAAAATTTCAAATTAATTTATTTAACTGCTTTATTATTCCCCCGTCCCATATAGCTTGCTCTTTAACTGCCACTTTTTTCCCCCCTTAACCTGGCTTCTTTCTTTCTGAAAATGAAGCTTGTGAAGCCCATATTCTCAGGGAGTACCATTAACAAACATCCAACTTATATATAAGCTATGCAGATAAATAACTAGACTTACATCCCAAAGCTGCTAGCTACTCTCTTATCAGATAACCAAAGTATCAGGCAGAGTTTTAAATTGTATTCATAAAGCATAAAGAATCTTCAAAGTAAAATTCATCTTGAAATTTTAATTTGTATTTTATACTTAAAACCCTTAAACTGCATGGGGCTCAACAGGAATCCTTTCTTAAGTTTTAGCATGTATGCATTTTGCCAACCCTAGTGTCTGGAGAGCACAAATTGTTGCTTTTATTTATATTTATGAATAATGAATACCGCTGACCTGAATCATCTCATAATCACTGGGTTTTTTTCATATACATTCATCTGCTGAATCAGAGTGTAAACAATGAAGGATACAAAGTTCTCCTTGCTTTCCTCCCATTTGTATTTAGTACTGTATTAAGAAAATACAACATAATCAAAACCCTTATCTGGTATCAGTAGGTCCTTTTGACTTGTTTCATGGCATCAAAACGTTTATATATACTGTAGATCAGCTGTGGTATTTCATGTACTCATTCATATATAAAAGAACAATTGTTTAGGTGGTTCCAGTGTTGTATTTGATGCATTTTACTTTGTCATTTGCTTTAATTTTAAATTTATAGATTTAAAGAGTATAAAGTAATTTTTATTTCTACCTTGATTTTTTTTTTTAAACCAATCAGCTCCAACCTTTTTGACTACTGGATGGATTATGTAGCCATAGCATTTCAAAAAGTGTTATCCAAGTTGTATATTAACGTACATTTGGAAAAAAAACCTGGAATATCTAAGACGGCTACTCTCAGTGGTTCATTTAAATGCAATTATCAAACAAAATGGTGCTATTACTATAAACCTTAAAGTATTAACTAAGACTACTAAAAATGTAATGTACACATTAATTCTTTTCCAAATTTTCTTCTGTTTCCTATAATGTTGCTTGAACATTTCCCCTACTCTTCATGCTGAGGTAACTGGTGATGTGACACTCAGCATATCGTGTTTGTGGCTCATTTCCTCCCTAGCAAAATGAAATCAGAAGGAATAAGATTATAATTCCACATATTCTAATATAATATCTGTAATAATAAATTATCTTTTTTCCTTATCCATTCCCTGTGATGGAAATTTGAGATACATAAACTGTAAATGCAGGAAGAGGCATAAGGAAGTGAAACTTACTGCTTGATATTTCATAGGTAGTGACTGTAAAAACCTGCTTCCAGGCCTGTGGCAAACAGCAAAACCAAATTGGATAAATGGGGACTTTTTACTGATTAGGTTGATAAACCTTATAAACAAAAAGATACTATAAACTTGTTTTCTTCTTATGTGAGAAAGAACACAATCCAGAAGTGTGCCAGTGCTTCTATAAAAGACTTGCAGGATTATATCTATTGTGTATAACATATCTGTAATATAACCTATAAAAAACCTGTGGATTCATTTGCTTCTATAATTTATTAACCTGCTTGTGGTCCTTTTTTATTTTCTACTGTCTATGTTGTTTCTTAGAAACACATAGATGCATTTAATCATGTACTTGCTCTCACTTTTCTGGTGCATTGCCCTTGCTTCTTTGCAGACTGGCATCTCACTTTGTAGCTAAATGATACAGCTAAATGATACTGGGATGAAGAAAGCTAAGTTGAATATTTCTGTGACTAAGTAATTGAACAAAAAATATATTACATCTTCAAAAATAATTCATAGCATTTGCATTAGTCATCACAGAAAAAAACCCAACCCTGTTATTAAACATTTTGGAATGCATTGCATGAAATATGAATTTATCTAAAGGGCCATTTAAAAGAAAGAGAACCTTCTTACTTAGTCTAATTTTGCTTCCATTCCCATTTGAATGTATCTGAATAATGTATTCTTTATACCAACAAACAGATGGATCATCATGATACACTTTTACTGCATGGACCAAACTGCCTGCTTTCATACCTCATTGCTTAAACTAGTTTTAAACCAAGACAAAAAGTTTCCCTGATATGTAAAGCCGGGGTTCTTAGTCTTGTTTCAGTTTTATACCAAAGTGAATTGCTTTACTTTATACCTGGTGAAGGGGAGGGGCTGGGAGGGGTTTATTAAGAACCAGCATTAATGAAAATGACAGTATATTAAAAATCAATTGAGAATGGCTAAAAAACTAGCAAATTAAACAGAAGCTCTGTTATGTGAACTACAAAGCACTTAAGAGGAGCTAGAGACCCTTCTGTAGGCTCTATCATGTGAACAATCTCATAAGGATTCTTGTGTATTTATAAAATTTTTGAAGTACAGCAAAATAGTGCTTTGTTGAAGTAGTTCATATCTCCTCAAAACTGGATCTCTAAAACTGTGCAGGTGTGACTGATTTTGCCAAATAGAACTGTAGCTGAAATACAGATCAAAAAAATAGAAGAAAATGACTCTGTGCAGTGTTAACATATAAAATGGCAAGATGAGGTTAGATTGCAGTGTGAACAGTCTCTCAGAGATTAGAGGAAACCCAGAAGAACAAAATACAATGCAAGCATGCAAAAGACCTGGAACGCTGCAGATTCACGGACAGCTGCACATGTAAGTACAAAAACCCCAATCTGTAAATACAAATTGATTCCATCAGGTTTACTATACAGTACTTAGTAGTAACAGACAGTTGAAAACAGCTTTCACTTAACAGCAAAATTAATTTTAGAGGGAAGAAAATGGTGAAGTCTCATCCTGGAGAACAGCAAGAGAGGTATTATATTAAGGAGCTGAAATTTTCTTTGGCATGGTAAAGGGGGAGAACTGAGTTTGCCAACCTATTTACATGAAGTTTCACCATCCTGTGGCCAATGCAATGATGCTTTGCACAGTCTACTTCTTACATAGACTTTTTTGTTGGTTTCCAGTATGCCTTCATATAAATGTTTTATTCATCATGTTGAATCTGTGTATACAACAAATAAGAATAAACACAAACTGTACAATGCAGACAAACTCTTTGCATATATGTATGTAAATTTGTAACACTGACCAACAGTTCTTTGACAGACACAACCTACAACATGCAGTTAGTTCATCCTTGTCATACTCTTCCCATGCAACAGATGAGACAAGACAAAATTAAAAGGAAGAAACAAAGCACAAAGATACCTTTGTTATGTTTAAACAGATTGTAGAAAAAAAATATCAGGACATTGATTCATTGGATTAAACACTCAAATGAATTTAGCCCACAGAAACAAAACCAGAAAACAATAATTAAAAAAAAGAAAAAAAAAAGAAAAAAAAGAGCTGTATTTCCAGTATGTACTAACTGCTTAAAGGAATTAAATCTGGCTTTACTTATAGCCTCCCAAACTGGTTCACAGATCATAGTTACTCAGGACCAAAAGGTTAATGTTAAAAACAATTCTTACGTAGGATCAGGCAATGAACCAGGTCCTCCTTGCATGGCTCAGCCAGGTCTCCAGCCCTGTCTCTCCTCAGGCTCTTACACTGGGTGAATTAAAAGACAGCTGAATGGGACATGAACTCATGTATTCCCTCCTCATGTATCAGGTGAGAGAGAACGTAGCCTTCAGCTGTTTTATCTTACTTGAAGCACTGTGAAGTTCTCCTCTAACAATTGTAGGAAGGCCTGGGGCCATGGCAGGACCCAGCGGACAGGACAGTGTCAAGGCTGCTGCCCCTCGTGGGTCCTGCAGCGCAGAGCAAGCCCCCAGCTCACCATCTGAGTTGCTTTGGTTTGATTTTGTTTTCTCAGGGATGGTGCACAAATCCCACTGGACCAGATGGGATGAGAAGGGCACACCAAAGTTTCTAATAAAAGTGTTGTTTCCCCACGCACACAGATTTAGTGCTAGCAGGCAAGGACACAGTCTCAAGTCAAAGTTTCTTTGCATTTTTATCACAGTTTTAGATTAGGTTTATTTTTTTTTTTTCTCTATATGGATAGAGGGCTTCATGCTTAACTCATTCCCTCCCTAGAAAGACCCAACATCAAGCATTATATCTTGCTGTTCTCATATCACACATACAAAAATAAGTCTGACCTACAGAAAAAAAGAAAAAGTTTACCTAGAATTTAGCAGCTTTACAGTAGCCTCCTTGAAGAGTGCACTAAATGTTGCTTATAAAAACAGAATGCATTTGAAAACGAGTATGAAGAGTTCATTCAGACTGAATCAGACTGTTCAGCTGAGCAGACAGGGAATTTGAAATAATCAGCAGTCTCTGTTAGGGACTCCAGCTCAAAAATGTGATAAAACAAATTGCCAGAAATACAGTGCTAAAAAAGGATGGTTTCCTCTTTTTGTCTTTAAATATCAAGGTAACAGCAAGAGGCCAAGAGAGTGTTGCCACACAGTTTTCCAGGCTGAGATACAGTTTGATCTTTGCTGCCATTTCTAAGAAACAAATTCCCTCTTAAGCATACAGAGAGTGCCCGTAATTTTCATCTTCTGAAAGCCTGTGACTAAGCGTGCAAAAAACTTCAGTGGCATCTCTGTGGCATTCTCTGAATCTTTCCCCCGCCCTCCTTCATCCCCCGCAACACTGGTTTAATTGTTCACAAGTGACAAACTCTAAGGGTTGATGTTGTTTCTGGTAATATGATCCAAGGCTTCAATTTTATGATGTTTTTTAAATTTTTCTAGGTTCATGTAGGAGAAAGTACAGTATATAGAGATCAAGGCAAGGCACCTTCAATCTAGCAATTTGGTGGGCATGTTATCCTAGGAAGCTGGGTGGAGGTACATACTGGGATATCAGTGAAATACATAGGACCGGACTTTGCATGCTTAGCTAAAAATAAAAATAAAGTTTTGTAATATGTCCAGTTTTAAAACTTCTTTTTTTTTTTAAAACACCAGAAATATTAAACTATAATTTTTAACTACCCTTTGCATTGGTGCTGCAAAAAAGAACACAACAACATCCTTGCCCATGCTTTGCTAAGTAGGTGTGGGATTCAGCCAAAAATAACAATGGCATTAAGTTCAGTTCCTTAAAAACAGGAAAGGATTATATTTGAAATGGAGTTAGGTAGCACAATTCTGATTAGTCTTACTTTTTTTTTTCTTTTACTGGTGGTGGTTGTTTTTCAAACAATGAAGATTTAGTAGATGAAAAATGAGCCTTAATTCAGACCTACAAGGCCTACAAAATTCTTTGGACCCACTTTTCCAAAAATGAGTGGGTCTTGCTCGCTGGGCAAGGCAAATGTTACCATTACCAGTAAGCCTGTGATATGTATAAAACACACACACAAAAAGAAACTATAGGGGGATGCCAAACACACGTTTCAGAAAACTCCCCGTTGGTTGTGTTTGACACTCTTCCCTCCACTTTAATGCCAACCTCAGAAGCACAGTATCTGTTACTAAAGAGTATTCACATTTAATCAATATTTTAAGCCAGAGACAACGATCCTATTCTTTATAGATATAATTTGTAATAATAGATTTTTGAAGGCTTCCTGATTCCCTGATTGCTTTCAAAACTAAGCCACCGGCAACACTTAAGTTATAGAGAAACACAATCCCTGCAAAAGGTCACAAACAGTGGAGCGAGCAGCCTTATAAAAAAGGGAAGAAGAGAAATCCATAATAGCACAGGTTTACAGCATCTAACTAGAAATTACTTGATTATTTGTGTGCTACAAAATAGAACTTAAACACATGGATTTTGCTGAAACTGGACTCAAAAAGGGATTATGGGCAATTGTCAGCAGGCAAGGTATCAAGTGTACTTGTGAAGTATGTCATTCACATGAAGTGTCACAGTCACAGAAAAGATATTAAAAAGGCATTCCAATATCTGGTAGGGCATTCCATGGTCTGAGTTTAGCTGGTTCATCCAGGTGTCTTCTCGTTGTGGTGGAGCTACATGTTGAGATTTATCCACTTGCAACAACTCAGTTCAGAAACAGCAACGGGCAAGCTGGTGACTTGCCACAAGCTGATCCACAGACACTGCCAAGGGGAAGTCTGGCAAGGATAAATCACTCAACTGTACTTGGGACTCAGTAAAGTCACAACACCTGTGAGGATCTGGCTATGTCGTCTTGCTCTTGTTCACTGGTTTGCCGCCATTCATTATTGCAGATGCACTTGTGCTTTTACTTGGAGTTACCCCAGCCTTTGGCACTGTTTCTCCAATATCATGCAAAGATGGTTCTCGATACATGGCAACTGAGGGGAAGGAAGAGAAAAGGAGAGGCATTTTTAACAATGTATCACATGCGAGAGTTCATCTCAAATAAAATTAATTTTCTATGTTCCTCTTGCATATCAGGGAAGCTTTATTTTGACAGACACTGGTTTTACATCACTGATAAAATTGCTTAAGCCTCCAAAATTCTCACACTTCTTCTGCATCTGACTTAAAAATGCAGTAGGTGACTGCATTCTTGCTTGTTCAATGGATACTACAGCTTCTTGGAAATGAAAAAGTAGTGTTCTGTCTTTGCCGAAAGCACACAAAAATATACATGTGGATACACATGTGTATGTATATACAACACTTAAATAAATATTAAATAAACATGGAAGCTTTTAGAAGTAAAAAAATGTGATAAGACAGACTGTAAATAAAAAGTGGGTTCACACAATACAGTTGTCTAGACATAAATATTCTTTCTTAGTCATACATTGCAAGATTAGGCTAGGGTCCAGTTCTACAAAGTTACATGTACATCAGTCTCCCAAATCTGAGGGATTTGGCCATGGTCACTTCTTCAGGTGTATTCTGAAGAAATATCCAGGATATGTGGAGAATACAAAAGAGGTTTGGGGGTTTTCTTTCTCATTTCCAACATATGCAGTAGCCACTGATCTCCACTGATAGCAGAAGTGCAGAAAACTCCAAATTAAACCATTAACTTAATTCTTAGAAGAATTAGAAGTTTTTCCCTGGGCTTCAGTCCCTACCTAACCGCTTCAAATCTTTTGAGGGAAATACATGTATTCAATTACACAATTCCAGCATTAAGCTGCCTTAATGATTAATGCTCTTGGATAATTCAGTTTCATTTTCCACGTCACTGTATCAGGTAATATTTTCACTTATACTTAACTTCAGTTGCATTTATTTATATCAGACCAATGTTAAAAGAGGTGTCACAGCAGTCAAAGGAATGATTTCACACTGATTTCCAGACTGGGAGTGTGCTACCACAGAGAGCACAATTCCTTCATCCCTTGGCTAATTGGAGTAGGAGGCTGGAGCATCAAAGTAGTGACCTTGATCTTCAATGGTGTGAAGTTTCATAATAAATGTAAATGGCCCCACAGCATCATTAATTAATCAAATACTTGTTCTAACATTTCCAGTGACATAATCCAAATCCTTTTATAGTTTCTGAAAGACTGAAATTAAATGTCTTCTCTAGAGTACATAAGGCTGATTATGATATATATCTTCATAGTGGCCCATAAACGTGTTTAGGGCACTTTGATGATTAATTAAAAGAGCTTGGTGAGATAACATGGTGACCTACAAAATTATTATGCTGAACAGCACGAAATGAAACTACAAAGTAAGGAATTACATAGCAGAGCTGTCATATTTGATGATTCTCATAGGCAATGTAAATCAAGTTATTTCTAAGCATTGTCTAAGCTATTTCGATGGAGTCTGATCATCCAAACGTTATTTAAAAAAAGCAACTTCTTTCCAAGTTCATACAGATTTGCATTGCTTTAAAAAATGCACTGGTATTCCCTCCCTTTAAGTCTTAATTTAATATAGAGGGATCAAGATATAAATTATTAGTATTGTTGAGAGCTAATTAAACAACTGTAAACTTTCACAAGAAGGAAACTGGACTGCTAACAAAAGTATTACTCAGGTATGTGTTTTCAGATGGTAAGAAACGAGATAATTTTCAGAATGACTGAGGCTACGTGCAGCAATTAGAACAATGAGTACTGCCATCAGGACAAGAAGCAAAAGGTAGCATGGGTTAAGGCCTGCAGAATACATAGAATAACACAAAAGTTCCAAGATATAAATGGATTTTTCAGAGAATGTGACATTATTTTGGTATGTAAGATTACTTTGATTGTTACTTGCACCTATCTTGGTTTAAAGGCCAACTTACACGAGCTGAGTACATTACACCACTTGGCAAAGTAATACATCATGATTTATTTTATAGAGACCTTTATGTTTTGTATTAGAAAGCTTTTACTTTGAAATGCTGACATTTCATCCATTCCCTTTACTACTCCTAATCATGCCACAATATTCATTATTTCATTCTGCCTAATGAAAGAACTATTTTCTCACTGTAAGACTCACAAATCCCTAACAATGGAATATTTTAAAAGCAGCACAGTGCTCTTCCTCAAAAGATTTATTTTCTTTTTCTTTTCTTGTAGAATGACCTCAGTTCCTGGAAAAATGTTTTTACACATGTCCTTTGTAGCATCACTACACAGAAGCACAAAACTGCTCCGTGAAATTTGGGGAAGGGCAGTGGGATTGACCCTTGTGTGGGGCATGCACATTCAGCAAGGGCATTTTGGAAACCATTCCCGCTTGTGAAATCAACAGGGGAGTCTGCCAGAGATGGACTGAGCCTCACCTTCCAATGGCTTGGGTAGAAAATGAGCTGCTGGTTTTGTTTTCTTCACTCTGTTTCCTTTCATGACCTGCCCTTCTTTGTTCAGCCCCAAGAACCAGGCCCTCCCGGACTCCTGTTGTCTGTAGAGCATGGATGAGTAGATTACATAATAATTTTCAAAAACAGACTCCTTGAATTTGCACTCTGGTGTAAAAAGTTCCTGTGGGAAAAAAAGGAAATGTTAAATGGTATCTCTAAAGTGCAGGATTTGTTAACTTACAAATACCTTGTGAAAAGTTTTATATATGATTTAAGATAAGGTTCTGCTTTAAGACCAGGACTTTTGTCATCCTCTGGAAGACCTCCAGTGAGCTTATTTCACTTCCCATGCATGCCTCAGTTTACCCATCTGTGCAACAGAGATAGTACATTTTAAAGTAGAAAGAAAGCCACACAGGCATAAAAGCACTATTTGAAATATGGGAATAATTATTGTTATTATGCTTATTTTTCTGATAGGATACTCTTACAAAGATTAAGAAAGTCTGTGCTAAAACAGCATTAATGAGATAACAGTTGTTCTGTCTTAACTGAATGCAGCAGGCTCCCGCTTGTTTACAATAATTAATATTAATGCTTAAAGTGCTACTACCAACATATTGTAATATATAGCATTCCCTGCAGTCCAGGAAAATACCACCACAGTCCAGGAATGTACCACATTTGATGTACAAATTTCTGGACAAAGAATAGTGATTCCTACTGGCATCCTCAGCATTCATTTCAAAACTGGTTTTTCTTTTTTTTTTCAGAAGTCACATCCAGTAACAGCAGTTCTCCTAAACTCTATATTGGTTAATCCAAGCATGAACTTCTGTAGTCCAGTAGCCAAATAATTGAAATATATATATATAATAATTAAAATATATGTATAAATATTTATTACAGAAGTAACCAACAAAATAAACAGTGTGAATATCCATCGAGATAGAGATTGCCAAAATTCATTGGAAAATCCCAGCAAGTTAATAAGCAAATAAATATACATTTAAAATATCACAAGAAAATAGGATTTTGTGTGAATGTGATTTTCCTTCTGTGGACCCATCTGCTGAAGCCTGTAGAAGAAATAAGACATTAAAGGAGGAGGTAGATGTGGGAAAGGGGGAAGTAGCTTGCAAAGATTTCAGAGCTCAAAGTTCTCAGCCCTGAATACTCTTTATATTTCTTTCAGTTATCTTTCCCAAAAAGGAAAAAAAAATCTGGAAACTTCACATCTTTTCACTTCTTCGTTCACGGTATTTTTTTTTTTCCATTTCTTTTTGTTCCTGGCCCCATGCAGTACTGAGTTAACACCCAGCAGGAAATGTATTTTCAGGGTCTCTATGCCATCCCCAGCTGTCTATATATTGTAAGAATTTCACAGCTGTTTCTGCCACAGATTTGCTTTCTGGAAATCACAGTTCCTCATACCAAAAAGCACAGATTAAAGACTTTTCTGAATGTGCACTGAATGTCACTTGGTGCACAACCTAGTTCTCCTAATGTGATGGGGTACATGGTATTTGTATTGCCATGGCTTAAGTTACCACCTGTAATCAAAGCTGTCTTGATGAACACCAGGCACACTATTAGCATTCCTAATCTTTGAACTTCAGATTAAAAAAAAATTAATGTATTTTATGCAGCAAGAGACTAAAAGCAGAGAACAGCTGGGAATATAATTTGTGAGCCTGCCCTGAAAGAGGTTGCTTTGGCTGTGTCAGCCAGTACGCTCAGTGTCTCTAGGTAACACTCACAGGATGCAAAAAAAATTCTGAATTGTGCAGTGGGCATCTCTTTGCACTACCACTTTTTTACCCACCACGTGTACCACTGCATACCAACTGCATATATATAGATATGTAAAAATGCAAAAATGCAAATAGAGTCTGTACTAGAAGCACTGAATACAAATGACAGGAAAACACCTTAACTGCACCTTCTCCTTTGCCATGGGGCTTTTTCTCTCTCTGTTCAAAACTTTAAGACATCTGTTGTTTGTGTTACTCTCCTTTCTCCTCCACTGATTTCAAGTCACAGTAGGGTTCGAGGAGACTCAAAATAAAACCAGAAGGCAGGGAGGCATGCTAGAGGGAATGCCTGTTAAATCCTAGCACAAGCATTTACATGCGAGTCATGTTCCTTGGCTGTTGAAACAGCAGATGCTAATCAGGAAATGCCTACACAGCTCTCCTTATTGCCTACTTCACTGAAAATGCTACCCCCTGTGTTCCCCATGAAGTTTTACTTCCTTGTAAAGCTCAATTACCATAAACACTACTTCTTAGCCAATACTCACATTTTTTGTGCTATAAACAAAAGCTGTTTGTCATTCTATGTTCCTCCGTACTAGAGCTGCTTGGCTGCCTCTAAACACTATTTGTATGTTTTCCCTAACAATATCCATTATGATAATTAAACAAGGTCCCTTCAATTCATATCCCTTCCCTGAATCAAGCCAGTCTCTTTCCTTTCTCATTTCTTTGGTATTGCAACAGTGGTTCTGACAGTGCACAGTATATGAAGTGGTAGGCATTTACTTTACCAAGTAAAAAAAAAATATAGATTTTGTCAATGCAATCACTTGGCTACTCCTATTGAAGACTAATAGAGTGGACAAACTGACATCATTACTACTATGTAGCTACAGAAACCATAATAATAGTCTGATTTTTTTAATATTTTATTTTTATTTATTTATTTATTTTTAATACAAGGAAGAGCCAAACCCAAATACTGTATTCTGCCTGAAACTACTGCAGCTATCCTACTTCAGATGTCCAGGCAACAGCTTTGGACAGGGTTTGCATTCATCCAGTATATTAGGAGGTTATTCTGCCTGGATTAAATTCTCATTCAAAAAGTCCCTTAAATATATGTTACTTTAAGGCAGACTAAAAGTTCCAGCGCTGTGAGGAGTATTTGTTAATAAAAATTAGATACCTGACAATTACTATACTGAACTGCAGACACCAGTTCCTCTAAGGAAAGAGTTAATCAGGAGACTTCTGAAAAGGCCCTCTTCCCTGGGGCTCAGGTGAAATTGAATATTTCTAAGTTAAGACCAGTGCCTAAAGTCTTGCCTCAGACACCATCTCAGCTGGCTGAAAATCACTACTCTATTTTCTACAGTAAAGTAGCCATAACACCTAAGATGTTGTTTTTGCATTTACCTAGGTCAAATATAGATGTACAGGGTGTGTTATAAGGGAAACTGAGTGATGGGGACACTCCTCTAGGCTACCTCCCTCTCTGTATCCAACCTGAAGGAATCCAAATCTGCATCTGGCTGACATGAATAATTTAGATCTTCCCTGCGCAAGAATGACTTTTTGGGTTTTGATCACAGGACATTTTGTATTAGGAAGTGAATGCATAAATTGCAAAACCAGACATGACTTGCAAACAAGAACTTGTGCTCAGGATTTTCCTTTTCAAGGTCAGAGCCCAGATTTAGCCTGTAGTTTTATATAAAAAGTGGTTTTATCCTGTCAAAGCAACATTTGAGAAATAAAGTGTATACCAGCTGCCAATTTACAAAACCCCAGGAATGGGTTTTGTCTGTGAACTGCAATCTGATACAGCTTCCTGGGTCACAGAGAAGTGAAGGATGTATTAAACTGCACTTTGCTGAGAAGAATTTTCACTTGGATATTTTTCTAGATTCTCATCAAATTTTTGCTTGATGTGAGTCATATTTGGAGGTATTTTAATTCTAGTTGCAGTAGCATTAATTGCTAATTAAATTTTGTGAATTCAAACTTGTGGAATCAAAAGTTCTGTCATTGCAGAGTTCTTAGTTTTGGGGCCCTCAGCAGCACTGTCAAATCTTAGCATTATAGTACTGAAACTGATGGAACTCATGGAATCATGTGGTGGTATCAGAATCTACTTGCATATAAGAACAGAACACAAAAGAAATAAAATTAAAATAGCCATTATCCACTTCTCAAGTCTGGGAGTTTCTGAACAACACAGATCAGGTAGCTTGTGCTGTCAACACAGAGATATAAGGGTTGTTGAAAGTAATTCAGATGACAACTGAGATGAATTCCCTACCAAGTCATGTCTTCCTGTCAGTCAAAAGCTGAGGTCTGACATGATGAAGCTAAGCCTCAATGCCAATCAATAATATGGCACTGTAGCAAGTGGCTATCATTCAAAATCAAAGTACAGCAAACTTTATTGTCCCACAAGCCATTGAGTAACTGAAAATATTTGAATGGATTATCAGTAACTTTCCATTGCTGTGATTTCCTAATTTAGTCTGTTCAAGTTAGTTAGCTTTAAAGAAGTTGCACATATCCATTCTTAGACATGACCTTTCACTTAAAATAAACCCCATGAAGCAAAGTGTTTTCCCAGTCCAGTTCTCAGAAAGAAGAAATATGCTGTGAACCACAGAGTTACAAAGCAAAACTAACATGGCAACACAACTAGCCACAGAGCATCCAGATATTGTTTAAAAATTAAATGGACACCTGCAGTTTTAAATTATATTTCTGTTCAGTAAATCAATAATGAACTGCCAGGACTGAACAAAAACTAACCTTCCATTGCACACCATGAGGGACAGTGTAAGAACCTGGCTCTACAATGGCCACCTGTCCCAACAATAAGGGCTCCCACAAAAGTTTCCTGCCTTCTAGTCCTGAACCTTTAAGCCTCTTTAGTTTTGTGTTTTATTCTGAAATATACGAAGGATGGACTTTAGTTAGGGCTCACAGAAGTGATAAAGCTAGCAGATATCTTCCTGAATTGCCGTCAGCAGCAAACAAGGAGCCGATGGACTCCCCTGGAGATGGGCACAACAGGACTTGTTCATCAAGTAGGCAAAAGCACAGCTGTAGGCTGGACTAGCTGCAGTTTCTCCTTGTTGCCATGCAGAAAACACAATTGCAACACAAAATCAAAGAGAACACAATTGCAACACAAAATCAAAGAGATTGCCAGGCGAGGAGCAGCCAGTCTAATCGAGCATGGTAAAAAACCCTGACACCATTCATTACTTGCACCTAAAAGTACAGGTTATGGAACAGGACCTCAGAGCTTTTGAAGCAGAGGCCAAGTGGAATCTGACAGATGCAAACACCTCACAATCCAAAAAAAACCAACACATCCAATCAATGGTATCAGCACAGTAGTAGGTGGGTATAATTTTTATATTTTTTTTTTTGG